TCCTCGACTCTCTCGTCCCTCCAGTCCCTCTCCGCCACCTCTGCCCTCCTCTCCCTCTCCTCCCTCTCTCTCTACGTCCTCTCTCCAGCCGCGTCTCTTGAACTGTCTCCACAACGTCTGCAGAGGGATACCTTCAGCGAACGAAAAATTCGCTCGTATCCGAAGCTCACACTCCCCAGTCATAAAGTTGAGGTTTCACATTCTTTGGTTACACTCCACACATACCTCCACATTTCCAGTTTCGTGTATTTCTATTTCAATTTACTGGGCGGCAATTCTTTGAAATGGGAGTGCATGGGTGTAGGTGTGTGTGTGTTTCTTTTTTTTTTTTCTTCTCTTCTCCTCTCCCCCCCCCCCTTTTTTTTGGTTGTTTCTGCGTCTGTATTTCTGTGTGTGGGTGTTTTTATTTTGTGGGTGTTTTGGGGGCATGTCTTTGTCTCTGGGTGCTGTGTGTGTTATGCATGTGGGTGAGTTCGTAATGTTTTTGTCCTTATTATGTTAGAACACCATATCACGTGTCTGCGAAATCTGTCTGTCTATTACCTGTCTACATTTCTATTCTATTCATCTATCAGTCTTTATGTCCGTCTATCTTCTCTCCCTATCTTGTTCTCTGTCTGTCTTTCTGTTTGTTGTCTCTCGTCTCATCTATCCTCTCATCTCCTCCTCTCATCTCTCTCTCCCCGTCCTCTCTCTGGTGCCTTCTCGTTAGTTCAATGTCCATCGTCTCCTCTCTCTTGTCTCTTAATACTTTGCGGAGAGCTTTCATACGTCTATGATACTCTTTTTTCATCTCTCCAGTCTCAAGTCCAACAGACATCTCGATCTCTTCCTCTCTCTCTCTCTCTAACACACACACAGTGTGTGTGTGTGTGTGTGTGTGAGTGTGACTGTTTGTGTGTGTTTGTGTGTATGTATGTAATGTGTATACAATATTTATATGCATACATTATATACATATACTCGTACTAGCAACGCAAGCAACCAAGAACCAATCACTAATAAGAGAAAAAACAAGCAAAAAAGAAAGAAAGAAAAGAAAAAAGTGAGGCACCCGACATCCCTGCAAGCCACGGGCAATATGGAAGGCAAGGCAACGAACGTCCTGCAGCTGCCTCAAGAACAGAGCTGAAGGTGACTGATGCCCTTTGGACAGTGATTGCNATGACGATAATATTCATAATAACGATGATGATAATAATTATGAAAGTAATAGTGTCATCATCGACGATACTGACAACAATGATAATAATGACAATAATGACGAAATAAATGATAATGACGTCGATGATCTTAGCATTGTCTTGCTGCGAGGCGGGGGGGGGGGGATGGAGAAGGAGAAACAAAGAAGAAAAAAAATTGTGGTAGAACACAGGAGAATTGCAGGAGAAAAGATAAGGAGAAACAAGTAAAAGGGGGAGGGTAGTAGATACAAGAATAAAAAGAAAAAGAAAGAGATAGAGAGAGAGACATAGAGAGAGAGAAAGAAAGAAAAAGAAAGGAAGAGAGAGATGCTGATAAAAGAATAAAAAGAAAAAGAAAGAGAGAGAGACAGACAGACAGACATAGAGAGAAAGATAGAAAGAAAAAGAAAGAGAAAAAGAAAGGAAGAGAGAGATACTGATCTTGGCACTGATGACACAAGATGGCGGATAAAATATATACAGAAACACGACCAAGATAAATACGAATATTATTGGCCGTATGCAAATGACGTGCGTCTTATCAGCTTTGTCATTATTCTGATTTCGTCTCTTCCTGTATGTTTTATTCCCGACTTTTCTACTCTTTATCTTCTCTTTATCTTTTATCTTGATCTATCTTTATCTTTCTTTCCTTCTCCTTCATCTCCTTCTGCAACTTACACGACTCTTACGACTGGTAATCCTCCTTCTCTTATTCCTCCTACTCCTTCTACTTCTCCTCCTCCTCCTATTCCTATCCCTGCTTTCTACTCCTCCTTCCTTCTCCTCCTTCTTCTTCTTCTTCTTTTTCTCCTCCTCCTCCTCCTCTCCTCCTTCTTCCTTCTTCCCTCTCCTCCCCCTCTTCCCCCTCTTCCTCCTCGTCCTCCTACTCCTCCTCATCGCCGTCGCTCCTCCTCCCTTCCTCTTCCTCTCCCTCTCTTCCTCAAGAGGCGGAGGTCACAGGACGCCTCCGCCAGGCATGTTGACCTCCCGTGCCTGCAAGTCCCACAGCGCATCCTACGCACGACCCCCCCCCCCCCACTTCGACTTTTCTTCTTCCTTCTCCTCCGCCTCCTGCTCTCGTGAAACGGGTTTGGGCGAGGGGAGGTCACTCATCTCTATCTCTCTCTCTTCCTTTCTATCTTTCTTTCTTTCTCTTTTTCTTTCTTTTTCTCGCTCTTTCTCTTCCTCTTTCTTTCTTTTTCTCTTTCTTTCTTTTTCTCTTTCTTTCTCTCTTTCTTCCTCTCTTTCTTCCTTTTTCTCTTTCTTTCTCTTCCTCTTTCTTTCTTTTTTCTCTTTCTTTCTCTTTCTCTTTCTCTCTCTCTCTCCCTCTCTCTCTCTGTTTGTCTGACTGTCTGTCCGTCTCCCTTTCCTCTCTTTTTCTTCTTTATTCTTTTATCTCCCACCCTCCCCCTTTTTTGTTCTCCTTAAATTCCCTTCCGTTCTACCACTTTTTTTTCTTCTTCTCTGCTTCTCCTTCTCGATTTTCACCTACCCCCCCCCCCCCGCCGCAGCAAGAAACGCGGTCCGCCAAGAAGGTCAAGATCAATGTCTCGCCGAACATTCTTGCAAGAAACACGCCGCGAATTCCTCTAATGTCCTCTCGTTCTCTCTCTCTGTTTCTCCTTCGTTGTCTCTTCGTTTTATTTTCTTTCTTTCTTTCTTTTTCGTGTTCTTCCTTTATTGCTTTCTCTGTCTCTTTTTTTTTTCTTTCTTCTTTCCTTTCTCTTGTTTTTTCTTTCTCTTTCTTAATTTAATTTGTTTCTTTCTTTCTTTCTTCCTCTCTTCTCTCTCTCTCTCTCTCTCTCTCTCTCTCTCTCTCTCTCTCTCTCTCTCTCTCTCTCTCTCTCTCTCTCTCTCTCTGTTTGTCTGACTGTCTGTCTGTCTCTCTTTCCTCTTCTTTTTCTTCTTATTCTTTTATCTCCCACCCTCCCCCTTTTTCTTGTTCTCCTTAAATTCCCTTCCGTTCTACCACTTTTTTTTCTTCTTCTTTGCTTCTCCTTCTCGATTTTCACCTCCCCCCCCCCGCCAACACTTTTTTCTTCTTCTCTGCTTCTTTCTCCATTTCCCCCCCCCCCCCGCCAACACTTTTTTTTCTTCTTCTTGCTTCTCCTTCTCAATTTCACCTACCCCCCCCCCCCCCCCCGCCGCCAACACTTTTTTTTTTTCTTCTTCTCTGCTTCTCCTTCTCAATTTTCACATACCCCCCCCCCCCCGCCAACACTTTTTTTTCTTCTTCTCTGCTTCTCCTTCTCAGTTTTCACCTACCCCCTCCCCCCCCCGCCAACACTTTTTTTTTCTTCTTCTCTGCTTCTCCTCAATTTTCACCTCCCCCCCCCCCCCGCCAACACTTTTTTTCTTCTTCTTCTTCTCTGCTTCCCCTTCTCAATTTTCCCCTATCCCCCCCCCCCCCCCGCCAACACTTTTTTTTCTTCTTTCTGCTTCTCCTTCTCAACTCCCCCCCCCCCCCCGCCAACACTTTTTTTTTCTTCTTCTCTGCTTCTCCTTCTCGATTTTCACCTATCCCCCCCCCCCGCCAACACTTTTTTTTCTTCTTCTCTGCTTCTCCTTCTCAGTTTTCACCTCCCCCTCCCCCCCCCCCGCCAACACTTTTTTTTCTTCTTCTCTGCTTCTCCTTCTCAACTCCCCCCCCCCCCCCGCCAACACTTTTTTTTTTCTTCTTCTCTGCTTCTCCTTCTCGATTTTCACCTATCCCCCCCCCCCCGCCAACACTTTTTTTTCTTCTTCTCTGCTTCTCCTTCTCAATTTTCACCTACCCCCCCCCCCCCCCCCCCCGCGCAGCAAGAAACGCGGTCCGCCAAGAAGGTCAAGATCAATGTCTCGCCGAACATTCTTGCAAGAAACACGCCGCGAATTCCGCTTATGTCCTCTCGTTCTCTCTCTCTGTTTCTCCTTCGTTGTCTCTTCGTTTTATTTTCTTTCTTCTTTCTTTTTCGTGTTCTTCCTTTATTGCAACCTCTTTCTCTGTCTCTTTTTTTCTTTCTTCTTTGTTTCCTTTCTCTCGTTTTTTTTCTTTCTCTTTCTTAATTTATTTTTTTCTTTCTTTCTTTCTTCCTCTCTTCCCTTCCCTCTCTCTCTCTCTCTCTTCTCTCTCTCTCTCTCTCTCTCTCTCTCTCTCTCTCTCTCTCTTCTCTCTCTCTCTCTCTCTCTCTCTCTCTCTCTCTGTTGTCTTGTCTGTCGTCTCCCTTTCCTCTTCTTTTTCTTCTTATTCTTTTTTATCTCCCACCCTCCCCCTTTTCTTTCTCCTCCCTTCGTTCTACCACTTTTTTTTCTTCTTCTCTGCTTCTCCTTCTCAATTTTCACCTCCACCCCCCACCCCCCCCCCCCCCCCCCCGCAGCAAGAAACGCGGTCCGCCAAGAAGGTCAAGATCAATGTCTCGCCGAACATTCTTGCAAGAAACACGCCGCGAATTCCGCTTATGTCCTCTCGTTCTCTCTCTCTGTTTCTCCTTCGTTGTCTCTTTCGTTTTATTTTCTTTCTTTCTTCTTTCGTGTTCTTCCTTTATTGCAATCTCTTTGTCTGTCTCTTTTTTTTTTTTCTTTTCTCTTTTCTTTCTCTTTTTTTTCTTTCTCTTTCTTAATTTAATTTGTTTCTTTTCTTTCTTCCTCTCTTCTCTCTCTCTCTATCTCTCTCCTCTCTCTCTCTCTCTCTCTCTCTCTCTCTCTCTCTCTCTCTCTCTCTCTCTCTCTCTCTCTCTCTCTCTCTCTCTCTCTCTCTCTCTCTCTTCCTTCTTTTTCTCCCTCTTTCATCACCTCCCAACTTCTAAACAAAAACAGAAAAAAGGACAAAAAACAAAAAGCAAAATAAAAACGAAATATTGAGAAAAAAAATCCAATTTGCAAATGAATTTGAATTTGCGAACTAAAAAAAAAGACGAACGACTGAGAAAGCGACAACTAGGAAGAACCGAAATGGCTAACGAATAGAGTAATAAGACAACAACAATAACAAAACAAAAACAAAAAAAAACATCGGAAAAGAATTCAAAATCAATAAAAAAAAAACATAACTGACAAACATAAGGAGAAAAAAATAACCGTGAAGAGAAAGGATAAAATGAGTTAGAAAAATTAAACATCCTAAATTAAATTAACATTAAATTGATTAACATTAACAATGAAATTAACATGAAAGGCCCTTTACTTACCGTTGGTCGCCATGACAGCCAGGACCTCTCCTCCACGCGCCTCCAGGGAGATGCCGTCGAGCAGGTGTGTCCGCCCACCACGCCCGCGGGTCTCGTACACCAGGCCGCGGACCTGCAGGTGGGGTCCCTTCACGCCCATCCCGCCCTCGTCCGGCCACGGGTTGTCGCGGGGGAACAGCTTGTCGTTGAGCATGGGCGGGTCGCGGTAGCCGTTGGCGTCGGGGGGCTGTTTAGGGGCATGGGCGTGGTGCGATTGAGTGTGGGCGTGCGGGATGGTGAAGGTGTGCGGGCGGTGGGTGGGGGGGCAGGGTCTGGTTGTAGTGGTTGTTGTTGCGGGCGGGGGCGGTGAGGGTGGCGGAGGAGGAGGAGGAAGGATAGGTGTTGGGGTTGTGGGCGTAGGAAGAGAGGTGCGACTTGTGGGCGGCGCCGGCAGGCTTGGAAGCGTAGTAATGCGAGGGGTTGGACTGGTGGCTGTGGGCGGGGTAGGGGTTGGTGGGGGCGTAGTTGCCATAGGGAGACGGCTTGTGGGTGCCATAGGAGAAGGGCTGGTAGTTGCTGGACGCGTAGGGCGCCTTGTGGGTGGGCGGCAGGCGTCGGTAGGGCGTGAGTAGGAGGAGGAGGAGGGAGGTGGCGGGGAGGCACAGCGGGGGGAAGGAACGGGGGGGAAGTTCTTTAGACGAATGTACTCCATGGCGGAAGGCGGCCTGGCTGCCCCTCGCCTGTCCTCGGGCTCAACACTCCCTCAGGATCTTATTGCTAATTGGGATTTCTGTTTCTTCTCTTTCTTAGCTAAAAGAAGTGACGCGTTTTATCTTATCTTTTATTGTTTGAAAAAGGAATTGTGACTTTCTTACTGCATTATTTCCTGAGCAATGCAGTCTACTGTATAGTTTCAAAGATATGTATCACAAACACAGGATTCATTAATCTGTCTTCATAATGACTTTAGTTGTATTAGGATCGCGATTTAAAACAACGACTTTCCTCTAAGATCGCTCGAAACTCCAATTTTCCTTTTCCAATAATAGCACTATTTTTTTTTTTTTTTCCTAAGTCGACCGTGAGCTCACAACATCAAAATTAGCCACATCTGTCTCCATACACCTCAGGGCGAATCCAAACAAAACTCTCTTCGAAAAATAACAATCTTCAATCCACTCCGAATTTTAAAAAACACAAAGAAACGAAGAGAGAAAAAAAAAGTCCTCCACAGACGCACCAGTGGAGGAGGCTCCGGCAACACATCCACTCGCCGAGAGAGTCACCGCGCTACTGACACGACCGCGGCTGAGGCGGCGTCGCGAACCGTCAGCTGAGTTACGACCTTCGCTATTAAATCAAAAGACGTTATTAATAATATCTTATTCTCTGCTTTATCATACTTCTTCTATTCGTTTTCGACGGTTTAAAATCTACATCAGGCTTTGATATTGAGAGCCATTTTGATTTTCTAATACGTATTATGATTTTAATATTCTTTTTTTTCGAATCGCAGGAGAAAAAAACGGGGAAAAAATAATAAAATTGGCAACGCTTGTTTACCTCTCCGTACCTGCGTTAATCACTGTTTTCACACGCAACGCACAGAAATTACTTGACAAGTTGTGAGTTTTAAACGTCTATTTATCTTATTCAAAATACCTGAGGGTTTTGGATTTACATCTTGCGTGAGGAAAAAAGGACTTTCTCGAGTCGGTTGAAGCATCTTCTGGTTACTTTTAATGGTTTGGGGTTTGTATCACACACAGACATGTGTGTGTGTATACATACATATATATATATATATATATATATATATATTATATATATATATATATATATATATTTACATATATGTCTGTGTGTGTATTAATATATATATATATATATATATATATATATATGTATATATATATATATATATATATATATATATATATATATAATATATATAATATATATATATGTGTGTGTGTGTGTATGTGATGTGTGTGTGTGTGTGCATATATATGTATGAATAATATGTATATAATATATATATAATATATATATGTATATGTATGAAATAATAATATTATAAACATATATATGTATATATACATATGTGTGTGTGTGTTGTGTGTATGTGTGTGCGCGGGCGTGTGTCTTTGCACGCATGTATTTATGCCTTGCCCTCATATACATTAACGAATGCATGATGACACATATGCCTCCCTACATGCATATATGTACGAGCGCATCTCTCCTGTGTTGCCACAGCATTCCTCCAGAAAGACAAAATTATCATCCTCTTCTATTTCCTCAGAACGATAATCAAGGCTAATCATAATAATCATAATAATAATAATAATAATAAGATAATCAGATTACTAGGCATTCCCGGTTTTTCGCCAGGCGGAGACGGGGAAGGCTAGATCAGTAGCAACCGAGGAGGTGTCGTGGCGCTGCTTCTATTTTTTAAAAAAAAAAAAAAAAGCACGTGGGGTTTATTTTGATGACGTCACAAAAGTTACGGATGCTGGGTGAATAGGGTCGATCGTTTTGGTCTCTTCAGGTTTTCAAAAAGGATCGAAAATAATGATCTTATTGGTTATATTTTCATTGAACGAGCATCAAAACAGCCGCCATGACACCTCCTCGAGTTGCTGCTGATCTAGCCTTTCCCATACGGAGACAGATCGTGTTTGGCCGAGGATACCGCGCTACACATTCACTAGAGCGTATCCAGTTTTCCGCGGTGGATTCTCTCGCGTCTCTCTCTTATTGTTTTCTATATTTTCTGTTATTGCGTAAGGATAGGATATGGGGGGGATTTTTTTTAATGATTTTTGAGGCGGATTAGGGATGGGGAGGGGCTAAAGGATTTAACTTATATCTTATGTGGAAAACCTAAAAATACTGTCACTTCCTGTTACCATCAGAGAAGAGAACAAATCTGATTTCTTTTTGTCATCTAAGACCCTAACATTGCTAGGAAATATGTATGGCAATAAAAATCATGATGTTCTAAATCACAGAAATGGATTCAAGTAAGGTTATATCAAACAAATCAATCATACTTTCACGCAGAATGAAGACCAAACCGAGAATCTTCTACAGAAAAAAAATTGCCTTACCTGGTTGAAAATCGCGCCATGTTGTCTGGATCGGCGAGATTGGCGGGAAACTAGCGACATCTGTGATCCGCCGAGCTTACTAATGGGTCTAATAGCTCTTCTATCTCTATAAAAGCCGTCGGAAGCTAGCAGATTGGCTTCGCTCGAACTCTAATGGAGTAGAGATGCAAGGAATGTAAAATGCGAGAAAAGATTTAGTAGAACGAGACTAGGAAGTATTCATTCTATGAGAGGGAAAAATCCCATTTTCTTTCTAATGCGACGGAAGGTGAAAAAAACAAATTCTCCCAACCTAAAATATTTTCCGAAAGCTAGAAAGTTTTAGATAATATACCAGTAATTTACGTTCTCCTACATCATGCAGATGCTTAATAAAATCAGAATAAAAGAAGATACATAAGACGAACGAAAACGAAAGTCAGAAAGCAAATGTTACTGAATTAAGTTTTAAAAAATAGAATTTAGAAAAATGGCGGACACATGGTGGTCGCTTGACTGTGATGTTGGGGTGTGCTGTTTAATATGAGTTTTTTGGCATGTTCCTTTGGCCAGCAGGTGATCTTCTGCACAGACAGATGGAGAGGGAAAGGTAATTGAGAGTGTGGCCGTGAGAGAAAGGAAAAGGGAGAGAGGGAGACGCAGGGAGAGGGAGATAGGAAGGGTTAGAGAAAGGACTAAGGGGAAGGAAGAAGGAGAAGGGGAGAATGATAAATCTTAATAAAATTAGACAGAAGATGAAGGTCAAGAAGGTGAAGAGAAGATATTGTTTATAATTCCTATTTTCATTCACTGGAGGATAATTATGAATTTGTCAAAATCCAAACAACAATTTATCCGTTTTCAGAACTTCCTGAGCTTAAAGTCACGAAATATAATAAGCATAAAGCGCAATAATAATAATAATAAAAATAATAATAACAATAACAATAATAAAAATATTTCCTATATTTCTCCATTGCATGACCCGGAAAACGGCATCCATAAAAAGCCGTTACAGCTGCATCCAGGATCTTTGTACCCTAAAAAAAAAAAAAAAACGCTACTTCTACGCTTGGAGACCAATTACACGCTACTGATGCGATAAATTGCACAATAAATATGAGAATGGATAGACTCGGACACGTCATTATCCACAAATAAGTGAAAAGTTCCACGAAGACCGATGTGGCTCTTGCTCTCTCCTTCCTTATTTCCGGCTCACACAGAGAGCAAGCGTTCCCATGTTTAAGGAATTGCGTTGGAAGGGGGGGGGGGGCGGGGGGGGAGGGAGTGTGGAAACGTAATCTTGCTGAGAGAAAGATGTACTTTTCACGCGTTCTCACCGTGTACAACATCCAGGGGGACATTTGTACACAACGGAAATCTTTGGGTTTAACCGTCTCTTTTTAAGGTTACGTTATGGCGTCTACGTCGATTATTTCCGTCTCACAAACATTTTTCTTTTCTCTTCTACTCTATATTTCTTTCTTTACTGAATCTACCATGTATATTATAACGTTTCTTGAGTATGTAGAAGAATAAAAATATATATTTACACAGTATATATATATACGTAAAATATATTTCTTTAACCGGCAACTGACAATAGTATTTGACCGGTAACTCTTTAGGAAGTGGAAGCAGAATAATCTTTAAAAAAAAAAGATAGAAATATTACAGGAAGGAAAAGAAAAAAAAACAAATGGAATGTAAAATAAGAAAACAATAAACTAAGAAGAAATGATAAAGCAGTGAGAATAAATATTAACAAAGGAGATAATGACAATGATGATTTCAGTAATGATAATAATAACAATAATGATAATGATGATGGTAATAAGAACAAAAACAAAAGAACAACAATAATAACAATTAATACAATTATAATGTTTAACGAAAACAATAACAATAAAAATAATATTTACAATGAATAATCATAATAATAACAATAAAAATAATAATCATTATCATTATTATCATAAATAATAATGAATTATCATTTCATTACTATTACTATCATTATTATAATTATCATTACTACCATTATAGTTTTCATTATCATTATCATCATCATTATCTTTATCATTATTATCATTGTCATCATTATTATTATGATAATGATGATGATAGGTATCACCATCATCATTACAACTATCATTGTTATTATCTTTATCATTATCGTTATTATCACTACTATTTTTTTTATCATTATTTATTACTGTTAACATCATTATCATTATAATTATCATCATTACTATTATCATTATTAGTATTATCAGTAATAGTTGCATCATCATTATTATTATTATTATGATTATTATTATTTATTATTATATTATTATTATTATTATTATTATTATTATTATTATTATATTATTATTATTATATTATTATTATCATCATCATCATTATCTGTACTGTATTCCTACTGCTGTTATTAACACCATAACAGTAATGCAACAATAACAAAAACAACAACAACAACAATAATAATAATAATAATAATAATAAAATAACAATTTTTAAAAAACGTCATTAATAACATAAAGATATTTAACAGTATTAAGATCCTCATCACCATTAGCAACACGATTAGTAACACCATCAGCATCACCATATCAAACATGAGCCTCACCATCATCCTCATCTCCATCCTCATTATCCTCATCTTCATCCTCATCCTCATCTTCATCCTCATTCCTCATCTTCATCTCATTTAACCCGCAGACGCCAACTCACCTTGACCCTGGCCTCTCTCGTCGACGGCGGCGTGTGCCAATCCCGAGCCGCGAGTAAATCCGGATTACTCTTACTCCTCGTGTATCTATCTCCTCTTCCTATCGGCGATCCTTCTCCTCCTCCTCCTCCTCCTCCTCCTCCTCCTCCTCCTCCTCGACCTCCTCCTCCATCATCGCTGGAGTCGTAGCCGCTGCTCCCGTCTCGCCCTCGAGCGGTTGGCGGGAAAACGCGCGGGAGGCCGAACTTGAGGTATGTGAACATGTTGGATCCGAGTTCGCTCTTGGGACCGTATCTGAACGAGGGAGGAAGAGGGAGGGGTGTGATAAAGGTTGGGATAAAAGAGGAATCATTGAAAAAGAAAAATGGGAAAAGAATAAAGAGGATGATAAGAAATTTCAATATAAAAAATAACAATGTCATATAATATTACTGCTGTTAATAATGCTGGTATTTGTTCTTGTTATCTTCATCATTACTATTATGTTTACTAATGATAGTAAGGGTAATAATAAATAATGAAAATAATATAACAGAAAAAATAATTGATCACTAAATACAAATCATAATTTGTAACATCCATAATACTAATAAAATAAATTAACCATAGTAATATACTCATATTGATAATAATTATATCTATTATAGTCATTATCATCATCATTGCTACAATATATCATTAGAGTCATTACATTAATCCTTACGATAATCATATCCCATTATCGTTATCATTATCATCATCATCACGGTAGACGTTGCAGTAATAGTGGTAATAATAATTATACCATTATCGTAGAGAAAAAGTCAACATAATCATCATTACAAAAAAATAATAATGGTAATACTGGTAATAATGATAATAATAAAATGCAGAGTTTCTGTATATAAATCAGGTATTGGTTGATACTTGAAAAAAAATATATCAGTTATTCGCGACAACAGAAAACAGCTGACTATCGCTTCCCGCCTTCTGCCTCAAAACAAGATGGCGACTGTTTGATATTTTTCAAACTTATCATCACTTATCAGAAGTCGGCCATTCGGTAAGGAAATGACAAGAGAAAATTATATATGATCTGAACTGACCTTCATTCATAAATCAAATTCCGGAAGTCAGTCACAAATTATAGTCATGAAGAGGGAGAGATAGAGAAGGAAGGAGGATGGGGAAAGGAAGGAGGGAAAGAAGATAGAGAGGGAAGGAGGAAAAGAGAGAAAGAGAAGGGGAGAGAGGGGGGAAGAGGAAGGGAGAGAAAGAGAAGAGAGAGAAGAGAGGAAGGAGGAGAAGGAAAAGAGGAAGAGAGAGAGACAGAGACAGAAAAAGAGAGAGAGACAGAAAATGAAAGGAAAAAAAAAAGAAAAGATAAAATCCTGCGATAAACAAGACGAACTGACGGAGGGGGAAAAGAGGTCATGTCGGAAGGGCGTGACATTCCTACTTCAGTGAGCATGACCTGACCCGAACCGGAATGACCACAGGGTGTGTCTGGTTAGGGCGAGTGAATGAGTAAGTAGGTAAATGAGTGAGTGAGTGAGTGGTATGTGTGTGTGTGTGTGCGTGTGTGTGTCTGGGTGTGTGTGTGTGTGGTGTGTGTGTGTGTGTGTGTGCGTGTGTGTGTGTGTATGTGTGTGTGTGTGTGTGTGCGTGTGTGTGTGTGTGTGTGTGCGTGTGTTGTGGTGTGTGGTGTGTGTGTGTGTGTGCGTGTGTGTGTGGTGTGTGTGGTGTGTGCGTGTGTGTGTGTTTGGTGTGTGGGTGTTGTGTGTGTTTGGGTTTCGTGTTTGTACTACTTTGTATGTGTTTACTGCACTTGAGAGAGAAGAGAGAGAAAAAGAGAAGAAAACTGAAACCAGTACTTCAGAATTTTTCAAATTTCCAAACATTTTAATTTGATCATTTATAAAAAGAGAACAAAACTGCACATCCCCTTTTTTTCCTCAACATGCTCAATGACAAATAAATCTTAGTACTTAGTATTTATTTAACTTTGTTTGTTTACTCAGTGATAATGACGATATTCTACTATATATAAACGTAACACCTATGATACGCCGAATAAATTAGGGAAGAAAGCATGAACATAAATAATAAACTTTTCGAAACCAAGTATATATCAACCTCACATATTTAAGCGAGCCCAAATATATCTTCTTCCCATAGCCATAGTCGCACATACATCATACACAAATTCCCGCCCTAATATTACTACGATATCCGTAAAGTACGATAATTTCCTATTGTCCGTCAGACACCACGAGCCTGGGGGAGGGGTAAGGAGGACGGGGGGGGGTGTAGGAGAGAGGGGGGGTGAGAAGGGGGCTGGGTGGGGGGGAGATGGAGGGAAAAGGGAGGGAGTAGAGGTAGGAAGACAAGGGTGTTGCCCGATGTACAATAACGACCCTTAGCGAGTGTGTCAGGCGAAGGAGGACGAGGTGGGGAGTCCAAGAAGACATGCGTGTTGCCAGAAGTACAATAACGACCCTTAGCGTGTGTTCAGTGGAGGGAGAGGGGGGGGGGGTGGGGGTGGCAGGAAGGGTGTCCTGGGAGGCGAAGCTACGATGGTTCACACAACTTATACTTCCTGTGGCTATTGACCCTTACGTGGCTATATACTGTTATCACAGCCATTACGGTTTTGCTCCCTTTTTTACGAGTGCTTTCTGTCTCTCCGATTCTAAATCTTGTCTTCTTTTTTTTCTTCTTCTTTTTTAATCCCTTGTGCCCCACATTCGGTCATTTTGGGCTGCGGGAAATGAGTGGAAATTGCCGCGTGATTTTGGACTCTGGGTGATTAGGCATTTCCCTAATTGGCTTTTAATTGCTGTTTGTTTTTCCCTTGTGATTTAGCCTCCTGGATGATGGTGAAATTTATGTTAAGGAAAATGGTAAAGGACTCGTACGTAGCGTTAGTCAAAAAAGGGAATTTAACAGTAATGACGATAACGGTAACATGGCAATAATAAGTAAAAAGGAAGATGTAGCAATAATGTGTTAGTAGTTACATAATTCTACTACTGCTGGTATTATCAGTACTGTTAATAATTATTATGATTAAATATCAACACTGATTATCAGAAACAATAATCAGTGTCAATAATAATAATATTAATAATAATAACAATGATGATGATGATAATAGGAATAATTATAATAATAATAATTATAATAATAAATGATAATAATAATAATGAATAAATAATAATGATTATGAATATAATAAAAGTAATAATGATGATTTTAATAATAATAATAATAATAATAATAATAACCATCATGAAAATAACATCCGTGTTGATACATACAAAAGTTAAACAGAGAAAAATGACAACCGTAAGTATGTATGTAATTAATGATCATGTCGGAGGTGGCACTGGCGACTGTAGCAGCTGTTGTAATGGTAGTAGAAACAGCAGCAGTAGTAGTAGTAGATTATTTTAGTTAGAATAGATATTTCTCCAACCCACCACCCACTCGGGGACCCACTCTCCTCCCGCCCTCTCCCTTCACTAGGACACAACCCGGAAATAAAAATGGTTATGGGTTATGGTCTCGCTAAAGGGCGTTTATGCAGCGGTTCGGAATTTCTCATGATTAGTCGCGATTTCCTCTTTATGAAGAAGACTGTTTTGGGAAAGACTCCCGGTGGTTTTCCCGTTTTCTGTTCCCTGTCAACTCAGCTGTTTATGTCGCGCTGTTGGCTGGGTGGACGGTTGTCTTTCTTTAAAGGTCGGGGGCTTTTTGTTTTTCTTTCTTTTTTCTTGGTGTTCTTCTTTATCATGTCTTTCTTTATGTAGATATCAATTTATCTGTTTGTTTGTGTCTTTATTCTACTTGTTTTC